CTCCCTGCCTTCTTCTCCAATTAGCGCTCGGGCAGGACACTCAGAGCGAGCGAGGAGGAGGAGGAGGAGGAGGAGGAGGAGGAAGCGGCGGTGAGCGGCCGGGCTGTGGGTGGTGTTTTAAGGAGGCGTTTGGGGAGATGGAGGCTGGGAGCGGGGCGTGCCGGGTCAATTTTTGTCTGATTTAGCCGGATTCTGGGCTAGTTAGCGAGGTCAGGAAGGAGACGTGGGCAGGAGGGAGCTGATTTGCTGATATGTAGATGAGGGAGCTGCGGCGTTGGGGAGGCCACCCCGGGGGGATTCGCGGATGTGTCGAGCCGAGGCCGCTTACTTTTGTTCTCCGCAATCAAACAGCGGGCAATTATCCGAATTATTGACAGCAGATTTCTCATTTCAACTGCAAATTAAGGCTATCAATAAAGCTTTCTGATGCAAAAGTGACTAATTAAGCAGCGGAGTGGAGCTCTGAAGCCTTGATATAAATAAAGAAAGCTCCAGTCGGCTGCACGTGGTGGAAACACAGGGGAACTAATTAGTTTAATTATCAAAACAGCTAATTAAAATTACACAGTTGCCTAATTAGTTCTGTGCTGCTCAACGTCTCCTTCTCTCCCTCTGTCTTTCTGCGAGCTGCCCTCTCACTCTTTAATTGACAGGTTGGAGTTAAATATAAAAAGGAGTGTGTGTGTGTGTGTGTGTGTGTGTGTGTGTGTGTGTGTGTGTGTGAATGCCTCCTCAGTGACAGAATACTAACAGCTGAATGAATAGATGGCTGTCATCCCCTTTGGTGAGACGCTCCAAACTCTCCTCTCATTAATCGTCCTCAGGATGGGGAGGAGGTGGAGGTGGAGGGGGCGGGGTGACAGCAGGAGGTGATGGAGGCGGGGTTAAAGGGAGCAGTGGACCTCGTGTCTCTGGAGAGGAAAACACCTGAGCTGGTGGAGTTTCACTTGGAAAACAGAAGGTAACCAATGACGCGGCTTTAATCCACATTAGCCCCGCCCACATCCTCACCGTCACTCATTTAATCCACTTTATTTATAGACGGTTTCTTGTCTACAAACAATACTAGGTGCGAGTGCAACCAGGGGTCAACAGTCTGCGTTGGAGTGAACTGATATCATGAAGATGACGTTCTCCCCGACACGATCGTAATAAAATATCACCTTTTCTTTCATCGCATCAAAATCAGAAAAAAACTCAAATATCCGTGAATTTCTCTCCCTTTACCAGGCTGTGACGTTGTTTCAGATGTTTCTAATATCTAATATCTAATATATATGTTTTGCCGATTCGTTCAGTTTACGTCTCAACAGCTCCTCGTCATTTTCTTTGACTCCGCTGGTAAACAAATAAGAAATGTCCCGCTTTCTGCCCCAAGGCTGCGTGCGCATATACCTGCCACGACGATGCACAGAAACCCGTCTAAATAGAACTTTTTAAAAAACATTCAAGTTTACAAAAGTTCTATAAAACAATAAAATACAATAAAATGAAAAGAACAGACACGGCAGAAAACATTGAGAAGAAATAAAGCAGGTAAAAAACTTTTAAAATGAAATAAAAACACAAAAAGGTAAAAGAAAATAAAGGACCTTAACCCTGAGAACTCCCAGTTATATTTTGCTGTTTTTGGTCCTCCTTATTTTTGTAAAAATCTCTGTATCGACTCTTTTCTTTCAATCACAGCAGATATAAACATCTTTATTTTCAGGAGGACCTCAGCTGTCAGTTTATGGAGCAAAAATGATGTAAAATAAAAGTGACAGTAGATTCAGAACCAACAAAGTCAACCAAGAAACAAAAACAGAAACTGATCCCAACAGAACTTTACTCCAAAAACACATAAATCTACAGTGACCAAACCTTTCCTCATCTGAACATCATTCTCTCAAGTCTATCAGGAGAAGAAATATTGGGATTGGAACAAACAACAGAAACTATTGACATATTTACACTCATTCTTCAGGCGTTTTTGACTATTTACAGTTGTTTCTGTGATGAGACAGAGGACCACATCAGACTGCTCACAATCTCTTCATGAGACCGTGTGATTGGTCGAAAGTTTGACAGAAAAAGACGTCATTAAAACAGTTCGTCAAACCAGGAAGACATTAGCAGCATTTAGAGATAATCTTTTTTTATCACAACAATCTGATCAATAATCCTGTTTTCACCGTATATCACTGCAGATTTACCACGAAACGTCTCTGATCAAACACCTGTTTTTGTGTCTGGATTGTAAACCTTGTGGCAGGTGTAGAAACGTCTGGAAACCCTCGATAGATCGCCAAAAGGGTAAACTATTAAACACTTTTTATCCCGTAGAGATACACGGAATAGATCCTGAGAAACTGTAAACTATAGTAATGGTGTCACGTGGGATCGCCAGTGTTAAAATCACTTGTCGGTGAACTCTCCTGAGGTCTGATGAATCTAAATCGAACACTTTTTTGGAAAGGACAACTGGACGTACTTGTGACGTTTTGCCTTAGGCGAAACATCACAAGTAAGTCCAGTTGTCCTTTCAATGAAGAACTGGAAATCATAGATGCTGCATCCTCAGTTTTAAAAAATATCTGCAGGTTTAGGAGGAACGTCTACATGACTTTTATCGGGGACGACCTTCATACGATCCCTCTGATCAAACACCTGTTTTTGTGGCTGGATTGTAAACCTTGTTGCAGGTGTAGAAACATCTGGAAACCCTCGATAGATCGCTAAAAGAGTAAACTTTTGAACACTTTTGATCCCGTAGAGATACACGGTATAGATCCTGAGAAACTGTGAACAGTACACAATGGTCCACGTAGGATCGACGGCGATCCAGGGGAATTCGAAGTGTCAAAAAGAAATAAAAGGACAGAGATCACAAACTCTCATGCTGAGCTAAAAGCCAAGGAATCAAAACGAGTTTCAAGACGTGATTTAAAAGTAGAAAGAGGTCTGATAACAGAGTGACTAATCTCGAGTGGCGATTCGTTCAATTTGGGAGCCACAGCCGAGAAAGCTCGGTCGCCACGGGTTTTCAAACGAGTTTTTGGGACGACCAGTTGGAGCTGATCAGCTGACCTCGAGGAACGTGGTGGTGTATAAAGATCTGAGAGGTCAGAGATGTACTGCGGCGCTGAGAAACAAACAATACATTTTAAAATGAACGGGAAGCCAATGGACGGACGCCAGAATCGTCATGACGTGGTCGTGTTTTGGTTTCCCCGTTAAAAGACGAGCAGCAGCTTTTTGGACGAGCTGTCAGCGTGTGAGAGAACATCATCTCTTCTTCTGAACGGGACCAGGATTTGCAGTCAAATAATGGCGCCCTGAGGGGGCCGACCCTCGACCCTCCGGCTCCACCCTCTCCACCGAAACGTGTCGATCCGTGTCCTCCACCTGCAGAGAGAAACCACCACACCCTCCACAAGTTCCTCCCGACTCTGAATGAATTCAACAAACTTCGGTGACACCCTGAGAAAACTAACCTGACCGCCGTGAACCTGCGAGGTCTGAGAGGATCATCCATCTGCAGCGGCTCCGTGTTCATCCCCTGCAGCTGTAGGAGCAGCTCATCAGCAGGCCCTCGGCATGTAAATGGTCCGGGAGCGACCAGCAGCTTTCTGACCAGAGGTATTTTTAGCTGCACTAATCAGGGAGCTTATTATTTCTGGGGTTCACAGGAACTTTCAACCTCAGACTCTCCTGGACTAAAAGATTCATGAAGCCCGGGCTACCCAGGGACCCCGTCCAGGCTGGAGGGGTCAGAGGTCGGTGTTATCCCTACGGCTACCACAGAAAAACAAATTATATGTGTTCAGGGTGCTCTGCTTGTACATTTATTGTGTATGTTTAATGTAGCGTGCTGAGGGTGAGGCTGATTTATAACCAGAGGGAGGAGTATTGACAGATACAGCCAGGTGGAGATAGATGAGATTTGTTATCCGCTCCAATTAAGGAGAAAGCTCAGCAGGCCGAAGCCTTTTCATATTACACAGGAATAAACATGGACGCCGTCGCTGCTGCTGCTGCTGTTAATGGTGTTTCCGAGGTAACGGCAGGACAGAGCTGGACCTTCATGAGGTTAAACTCTGGATCAGGAGGAACACAGAGATGTTTGTGGGTGAAGAGGTCTGATGTGTCTGCAGGGATCCTCTCAGTCTGAGTCCATCAGGGGCAGAAACGTGGACCTTTGGTGGACTCGCTGTAAACTGGGGAGGTGACCACAGGGGTTCATTACTCCATGAAGAGAGAGAGTTTTAATCGTCCTGGAAAGTTTTGATTCTGAGGAATGATGTTTAGTCGGATCACACTGATGACAACATCCAGGAAATCATCGTTTCTTTAATCCTGACCGAACTGATGAGGTGGTTATTATCATCTCAGCTGTACTTTCAGCATTTTCAGGTATTTCTAATCAGAATTACTCCATCTAAGATTTCTTGGTACCTTTATCCTTTTTTTGTTTGTTGTTTTTTGCATTATCCAGCATGTCAAAGGATCTGTGACTGAATATTGACTGACCACACTAATTTCCATCAAAGGTCAATTCACCCAAATGTGCAAGCCTATTGGCTGAAAACAAGGAAGTGACACTCCATCAATTAACAGAAGTACATCAGACTCTAGTTGACTGCAGAAGACGCTCTGGTGTTGTCCATCAGGAGGACCCCCAATTTTCCACCTTCATCCTGATCGTCTCCTAAAAGGTCGTATCCTCCGATCGTAGCTGATCGTAACCATTCAAGTTAACGTGTCAATTTACACCGACTTCTTTCTGTTCCTCTGAGGATCGCCGGACTCCTCAGCTGATCACAAGAGTTCTATTTTTTCTGGACGCCGGAGCATGGCGGATAAATTCAGCACAGATTAACCCGTGCTGGAAAGGAAGTCGGGCACAGACACAAAATAAAACATCCTGCTTCTTTTCAAAATAAAACACTCCGTGTTTCAGGAGGATCGTATTTCACACCATGCAAACGGGTGGAGACGAACAAGTGAAAGGTTTTTAGACATCATTTCACCCCGATGACACCATGGATGAGGAGATGCTGATTCTAGAAGTCTAGAAGTAGATTTCCTCCTCTGGAAGGACACAATCTACTGCTTATATGTCTATGTGTCTGTCTTTAGAGAGACAACTCGTTATCGTGTGATTGAACGTGAATCTGCGGGTTCTTGTGAGTTCTCGCGATTCCTGCTGTCTGTAATCTGCCACGAAATTCGCCTCACAAACTGAGGAATCGTAGGAATTGGCGTACAGTGAAAACTGCCGCAGTTCTGGATGCGGTGAAAATTGGGGGTAACGGATCCAGAACGGCGCCGCTCCGCTCAGGCACTGCACTTACCAAGTAGCAAGCATAATAATCAATGTTTGTGATTCCACAGAATCTGTCCGCCGTCTGTCTCTGCTGCAGATCGGCTCCGGCGGTTTGATCAGATACGCAAGGCTTCTATTTTCGCCAGATCCCACAGCATGAGCAGCAGCAGAACTTATACGAGGCTACAGAGTAAAATATCCAGTTAATTTTCAAAATAAAAGAAAGTCAGTACGTTGAACTGTTCTTAGCTTGATAATAGGAGAGGTCGGGGTTGTGGGATTCAGTGTCTCACGGGGAAACATGCAGATCCAGTGGAATCCCCGTGTGAAGCTCCTCTTGCATCGCTGGTTTTGATGGACCCTGTTGGGTTGTCTGATTCACAGCATGTTCTTGTTTCCTGTCTCCATCCGTGGTTCATGTTTTGTATCCTGGTAAAGACGTATTTTAAATCTTTGAATCGTCCCACCTTCAGCTGATAAAGAGAACGTCCTCCGCCGTTCAAACTTGTATAATTTCGAAGGCTCCACCTCAGAAAACCGGAGTCTCCTTTATTTATCGCTCATCTGTAATATTGAGGTTATTCTGGATGCACTTGTAAATTTGTGGACCTGCTTGGACTGTGAGTGTCCCTCAGAGAAGAAAGCCTTTTGTATATAAAATGCAATCTCCTGCCGGCTCCTGCTGCTGTTGGGGGGGAGCATGTAGATTACAGGGTGAATTGCCTGCAAAGCGCTGTTCCATTTGAATTGTCAATGCGGACTCATACAGAGACCATTCTGGCTGCGATAGAGCAAAGACAGATTCCATCAGGTCCTTATCTGTTACAAGTTGCATTGCTTGCAGCTGGATTCAATAGGTACCAATAATGGTGTTATTTTTTAAACATTAGGATACCTGCTTTTCTGCACTGGTCAGCACCGGGCTGTATTAGTATGAGAGGAGCATATAAAACACGGCCGGCTGCCTCCCTCCCTGCTGTCCAATACCATGAATGGTGTATTATTCCCATCATTTTTCTGACTTTCTGGAGGAAAAAGTAATTTTATCTTGTAAAGGGATGTATTTTTCCTGGCCCTGTCCCCTGAGTGGTGGATATTGTTCTGGGATGAAGAAGTCTTCCTGCTGCATTGATACATCATCGCAGCCAAACCCAATCAGCGTCTGCCCGCTGTCAGCAGAGACCAATTTGGGCCACACACTCTCTGACCATGACATTTAAGAAAAATTAATCCCACTGTAAGCCTTCCAGGAGAATTAACTCTGCTGCAAAGAGAGAGAGAGAGAGAGAGAGAGAGAGAGAGAGAGAGAGAGAGAGAGAGGGAGTTTCTACAGACCTGATCAATACCAAGGAAATGTTTGACAGACCCTCTGCTGTTCCTTTTGTTGTTCAGACTCTGACGCCAGCAGAGCTTTTCTCCTCCTCAAATTTTCAGGATCACATTATCAGGATCATATTATCAAGATTATATTATCAGGATCATGTTATCACAATTATATTATCAGAGTCATGTTATAAGGATCATGTTTTCAAGATCATATAATCCAGATTATGTTATAGGGATCATGTAATCAGGATTATATTATCAGGATCATGTTATCAGGATCACATTACTCAGATTATGTTATCAGGATTATATTATCAGGATTATGTTCATAGGAACTTAACATCAGGTGATATTATCAAGATAATGTTATCAGAACTAACTACATGTTAAACTAACCCTGTGTCAAACTAACTCTACATCAAATTAACTCAATATTAAATTTACTATCACACTTACTCCACATTAAACTTACTCTATATAAAACTAACTCTATGTCAAACTTAATACATATAAAACATACTATATCAAAGTAACCCTATATTAATCCAACCCTGTATAAAACTCTATTTTAAACCAACTCTCCATTAAACTAACTTTGTATTTAACTAGCCCTTTATTAAACTAACTCCGAATAGAACTAACTCTATATCCAAATTAGACTAACCCTGTATCAAAATGACTCTTTATTAAACAAACTATATATCAAACTAACTTCATATTTAATTTACTCCATATTAGACTAACTCTAAATTAAACTAACTCCATATTAAACAAACTATATATCAAACTAACTTTATATTTAATTTACTCCATATTAAATTAACTCTGTATTAAAACTTACTCCATATAAAACTTTCAATATCAAACTAACCCTGTATTTATCCAATCCTGTATCAAATTACCTCCATATTAAGCTAACTCTATATTGACATAACTATATTGAACTAACCCCATATTAAACTGACTACAAATTAAACTAACCCTGTATCAAACTCACGCTAGATTAAACTAACTCTATATTAAACTAACTCTATATTAAACTCACTTTTTATTAGACTAACTCTATATTAAAGTAGCTCTTTATTAACCTTACTTTAAATCAAACTTACTCTATATTTAAACTCAACTGACCCTGTATCAAAATAACTCTATATTGAACTAACTCTATATCAAAGTAACTCTATATTAAACCTACCTCATATAAAACTTAGTTTATCATATAAACCCTATATTAATCCAACCCTGTATAAAACTAACTCTATATTAAACTAACTCTATATTGAACCAACTCTATATTGAACCAACTCTATATTGAACTAGCTCTATATTGAACCAACTCTATTATGAACTTACTCTATATCAAACTTACTCTGTATTAAACTAACTCTATAATGAACTAACCCTGTATTAAATTAACTCTATATCAAACTAGCTCTATATTAAATTAACTCTATATCAAACTAGCTCTATATTAAATTAACTCTATATCAAACTAGCTCTATACTAACTCTCTCTGGTTGTCTTCACGCTCTCCTCCTGCAGCTGAACCACAGACTCCATCGTTCTTACATTTTCCTTCTTCTGTCGGAGCGAGAGCGCTCAGGAAGGAGGAAGGAGGCGAGGAACAGAAAGAGCGTTTGGGTGCCAAGGTGCTGGGCCTCGTTTAAGGCGCTAAATGTTGTGGCGGGCGGGCGGGGGGGGGGGGGAGAGAGGAGGCGATAATGAGCGCTGAACTCCTTTCCAAGGCAGCCACATTGTTTTAATTGTTGTGAGCGCAGAAACAGCGTTGTGTGTTTTCTTCCAGCCAGCCTTCAAAAAGAACAAACCTGCTTTTTCCCGCCAATGTGTTGGAGCAATTATGTACAAACCCTGTAATTATGCGTATCTTTGGAAACATGTAAAAGCTGTATGGAAATGAGAGCGCCGGCCCCCCCGCCGCTCAGCATTGTTTGATATTTGAGGCAGTTTTGGCAGAAAAATGGGAGTTTAAGACACATCTCTGAGTGTGTGTGTGTGTGTGTGTGTGTGTGTGTGTGTGTGTGTGTGAGCAGGTTCTCAGTGTGGACATTAGCTGCTGGCAAAACTGAAGCACAAACACCCCTCCTTCCCTCCCTCTATCTGTGCTGCTCCGCTCTCCTCCTCCTCCTCCTCCTCCTCCATTTCCATACCTCCTCACCCCCCCCGCTCCGCTCTGCGTGTGCTGGTCCCACCCTTAATTAAGTCTGCTGGGGTTTAAAGTGTTGAATCTGCTTTAAAGCCCATCTCAGCACATTTAAAGGACTGCGAGAGCGTGCATGGTAATCAGGACATCCAGAGCGTTTGGGTGGGAGCGGCGGCCATGAGAGCCTGATTTCAGACTTGATTCCTTCACACTTGTGTTTTCCTCCGTGGGGAGGGGCTGAGGTGGGGTGAGGCTGGGTTGTGGGGGTGTGATTATTCCCCACTGTCATACAGGATGTTTCTTTTGTGTGACTGGAGGCTCCTACAGCTCACAATTACCAGGAGTTAATCTTATCACAGTGAAATTCAATTACTTTTATCAAGGTTATTTGGCTACAGATGTAGCCCGGGTGGACCTCATTCTGCAGCCATTGTGCGCCTCTGCTTGTGTGTTTCTGTGCCAATAATTGAGCTCTGCTTTTACCTGCAGAACGCCGCGTCCTGAGCAGCAACAATGCAACACGTCCCCGCCGTGAGAGGAGGTAATAATGGGGCCTTTCTGCAGTTCACCTGGGCGAGCACCTGTTACTGCGTCTGTTTCTGACATTTAAAAATGGACATTTTGGGCGTGATAACAGGTTGTGGCAGGGCTGGCAGCCAGCGGTCTGATGAAGGCTATTTAAATGCTCGCAAAGTGGAAGATTAAAATCGAATAAGTGCAGCTTTTTCCCTCCTTTTTCTGCCTGACTTATCTGGATTCGTTCCCGCAGACCCTCGCTGCCGCCGCCGCCGCCGCCGCGCTGCTGTCTGGGTAACTCCTCCCGCCCTACACACCAATTACCCCTGGATGGATTTTTTTGAGTGAAGCAGGATAATTGTGTAATTATCTGGGTGAAATGGGAAGTCTAATGTGTTAAAGTGGGATTTTTTTTAAGCCGGCGTGCGGTGAGGAAGTGCGGCGATGGAGGCTGGGATTGTGCCGCCGGTGAGGCTGAAGCTCCTCCTGCTCAGAAACAGATAAATACAGAGATACAGAGGAGAGGAATCAAGAGGAGCGCTGACCTGAAGACCTGACTGAGGGCGGAGTTAACCCACAGAGGCTGCTGACGCTAAAATCACATTTATACTGGACTGAGCGGAGACGGAAGCTCAGGAGGGTCAAAAAGAGGTTTGAGTAAAAGACGGGGGGAGGAGGAGCTGCTGGGGGGGCTGTACCTGTCAGGGTCAGGTGATCTGTTTGGGTCTCCTGAAGACGGGCTCACAGAGGAGAAACTCCTCCTTCTTCATCAGGGTGGGATTTATACTGTCATTTTTCTAGACACACGCTAGGCTGGACACAGGCTACAAACACGCACACGCACTACGCTGGATAGTGTAAAATAAAAAGTCTGTTACATCAGTGTCTTAATTTTCCTCAAGTTCAGCGTGGAGGA